CCGTGGTAACCCTTAAGCCACACATGCCTCCTGGGTGGTGCTAAATGAGTAACAGATGGACTGGTAGCCAGACATCTGAGGGGATCTCCTGGCTTCACACACAATCCCACAGTCCTTTTAAGGACCTTTTAAGTACCAAAAAAAAAATGTTGACTCTGTGTCTACTTTAATGTACCCAATAAAAGAAATGTCATTTCCCTTCGGTCCTCAATTCCCAATGCCTAACCTCTTTTACTGAGATTTTATTTCCTAGGTAGAATAATAGTTTCCTAAAGTTATTTTAAATTAATTATAGATTTTACTTTCTAAAAAGTAAGTCTATCTTCCATTATATTGTAATTTTTACCGGCAGCCCTTACTTAATGCTAAGTGATGCAGTTAGACGTTGTGACATCACCTGACCATGAAGTTTAGCAACAATAACTTTGGCAGACCCCAGTTCCCATTATTAAGTGAGGATTCCATAGTTTGTAAAGCATGGAATTCATGTGATCACAACTTCCAATTTCATTCTAGCTTCCCCATTGACTTTTCTTGTGGAAAGACAGCAAGATAGATTGCAAATTGCAATCAAGTAACTGTGGGATGCCATGACAGTCAGAAATCCAGGCCAATTCCTAACTTCCAGGATTGTGATCATATGAGCAAAGTAAGGAAGTCAAAAGTACCACTTGTTCTGCACTGTTACCATTTCAGATGGTTGCTGAACAAGCAGTCATTAAACAATGAACACCTGTACTTTAGTGTTGCTGTGCTATCTGAGTTATTGTTTTGGTATTCAGTCACAAAGTCTTGTCTGAGTCTTGCAACCCCAGGAACCATAGCACCCCAGCCCCCACTGTCTTCCACTGTCTTCTAGAATTTGCCCATATTAATGTTCATTGTGCTGCTGATACTACCTAACCATCTCCTCCTTTGTTATCCTCTTCTCCAGTGGTGGGTTGCACCCGGTTCGCAAGAACCGGTAGTAAAAATTCATAGTAGTTCAGTAATAACAATTGGCTAGCCAAGCCCCCGAACCGGTCCCTGGCCCGGTCACCGCTTGCTTACCCCGCCCACCTCATCAGAGGCTTTTTTTTTTTTTTACTTTTAAAAGCATTTTTTCTACAACCTCTTTGGCCGAAAAAATGCTTTTAAAAGTAAAAAAAAAAAAAAGCCTCTGATGATCGCGCGGCTCAGCTGGGATCGTCAGAGGCTTCTGAAAGCATTTTTTTCTGCAACTTCTTCGGCTGAAGAGGTTGTAGGGAAAAAAAATGCCTTTAAAAGCCTCTGGCGATCCCCGCTGAGTTGCCTGATCGTCAGAAGCTCCTAAAAGCGTTTTTTTCACAAGATGAACTTTGAATATAATTTAAATAAGCAAGGTGACAATATAGAGCCTTGTTGTACTTATTACCCTATTTTGAAGCAATCAACTGTTCCATGTCTGGCTCTAACTGTTGCTTCTTGGCTCTCATGCAGATGTCAGATCTGCTCCAAACTGATCCCTTAGGAAAGGAAGACCTTTGACTCCATTTGGTAAAGCAAAGGGTTCTTTTTTATAAAGGTATTTGTTGCAGTAATGTAAGGCCAGCTCTAAATTGTCCAGCATTTGCAAGATACAAAAAAGGTTCACCCAGAGCCCGTTCTTACCCCTCTGTAACCAGTTCATTTCCAGCCAACCACAGCTCACCAAAATGTTTTGAGAATGCTGAGATATTTTGGGATAATCAATATATTTCTCAGGGTGCTTGGCCTTGGGATGCTGGTAAAAACAGGATCTGGCTGCTCTGGTCTTTATCACCTATCATTCCACCCTCCTGATTTCCCATTACATAAAAACACAGCTTTATTTCCCTTTAATCCTCCACCCCCTCCATTTCTGGTCTTTAATGGCAGGAAGCAGGTGAGGGGCCAAGCTGAATCAGTTAGAGCTGACTTTAGCATTCTCAGGTGACAGTTATGGTGGTCTGGTACTCCCAACACTTTGAGAATTTGCCACAGATTGTTGTGATTCACATATTCAAAGGCTTTAGCATGGTCAATGAAACAGAAGTAGATGGTTTTCTGGAATTACCTTGCTTTCTCAAAATCCAGCAAATGAAGGAAATTTGATCTCCAGTTCCTCTGCCTTTTCAAAAAACCATTTGTACTTCATAGTTCTCGATTTACATACTGCTGAAGCCTAGCTTGTAGGATTTTGAATATGATCTTGTTACTGTGTCAAATGAGTGCAATTATATGGTAGTTTTAGACATACTAATATTTATTATATATTTATTAGAAGTGATCTGGCTTAAGTAGCTTTTGCAAATAAACTACAGAGCTTAATTTTTTATTTATGGTTGTTTATTTTGCAATTCTATGTTAATTTTATTTCAGAAATCTGAAATGTTACTCCTATCTCTGTTTTAGAATGGCAGTTATTTATTTGTTTGATGGCTTACAACTTTAAAGAAACATTCATATGTATGTTTTGAATATATAATATTTTTTCTCCTTCCTTGGTTTGTTCCTCTCTGATTGCCTTTGTGTTTCAGGTTCACTCTTTTCTGAGAAGTATCAGTTTTAACAACAGTGTTGATGAAAAGATCTCCTTTGATAAAAGTGGAGAATTGATTGGTGGATTTTATATTATCAACTGGATCACATTCCCAAACCAATCCTTTCTTAGGGTCAAAGTTGGAGTAATAGATCCCACAGGTCCAGCAGAGAACTTCTTCAAGATATCTATAGATTCCATCACCTGGCCAGTAGGCTTTAATCAGGTTAGTTTTTTTAATCTAGATTTCTCTGCATTCATTTAAATATCTTTATTGATGAAAGTGTCACAGTATCATCTCTGACTAACCAAGGTAGAAATTTCCTTGAAAAGGAAACATACCAGTATTTTATTTTATTTTATTTTTTACTTTTCTAGCAATTACAATTGAATATTAGGAAATATACTTTCCTGGCTACTTGTTAATTATGGACAATGGTTTTCATGGTTTTGAAGTAAAAGCTGCAAGCTAGCACACTAAATCTCATCAGTTTGCTAATATTAAAATTCAGAAGTTGAAAAAACCAACTTTAATTAATTAGCACAGAAATTGTCTTTGAAGAGTGAGGATGTTTAATAAAGGCTATCAATACAATTATTGAAGATATTTAATTAATTATAATTTCAGAGCAATTACATCTAAAATTATGTCATTCCGCTACTTCATTTTTAATCTGCTGATTCCACAGAAATGCTCCAAGCACTTTCTTTCCTCTATGTATCTTAATATATTCTTCTTCATTCGTTGATAGGCATTACCTTTATCTTTATGTAATGATCCTTGTGAGACAGGATACAGCAAGGCCAAGAAAGAAGGAAAGTTGTTTTGTTGCTATGATTACCATCCATGTCCAGAGGGGAAAATATCAAAGGAGAAGGGTAGGAAATTTTCAGATATATTGGGATTAAGTCAACACTATAATTTCTTATATCAACTCACCTGCATTCTTTTTCAGACATAGATGACTGCTCTCCATGTCCAGAAGATCAATATCCAAATCCTGGCAAAAATATGTGCATTCCAAAGCGGATCACCTTTTTGTCCTATGAAGAACCTTTAGGGATCAGTCTGACTGTTCTTTCTCTTTGCTTTTCTTTGATGACAACTTTGGTAATAACAATCTTCATGAAACACAGAGTTACTCCCATCGTCAAAGCCAACAACCGGAATCTCACTTATCCTTTCTGTCTTTCTATTTGTTGGGAGGCCCAATACGATTGTTTGTCTTCTTCGACAATCAGCTTTTGGCCTCATCTTTTTTGTGGCAGTTTCCTGTGTCTTGGCCAAAACCTTTGTTGTGGTTCTAGCATTCATGGCCACCAAACCAGGTTCCAAATTGAGGAAATGGGTTGGGGGAAGGATGGTCAGTGTCATTCTACTCACGTGCTCCCTTATTCAAATATGTGTTTGTGCTGTGTGGCTGATAACATCCCCACCATATCCAGATTTTGATATGAAGTCAATGTCTGAAGAAGTCATCCTGGAGTGCAATGAAGACTCGGTCATGTTCTACTGTGTTTTGGGCTTTATGGGTTTTCTTGCTCTGGTTAGCTTCTCTGCTGCTTTTCTAGCTAGGAATTTACCTGACAGCTTCAATGAAGCCAAATTCATCACCTTCAGCATGTTGGTCTTCTGCAGTGTTTGGTTGTGTTTTATTCCAACCTACCTAAGCACAAGGGGAAAATATACATTGGCAGTGGAGATCTTCTCCATGATCTTCTCCAGTGCTGGCTTATTAGTGTGCATCTTTCTTCCCAAGTGTTTTATCATTGTGATGAGATCTGAACTGAATGATAAGCACCAGCTCATGAAGAGAAAGTTTTAAGAAATCTTTTTCTTTGCCTAATATTCTTTCTATGTACATGTTGGAGAACTTCCTCACTTCAACATTTAAGCTAGAGAACAATGTACAGAGACAGTGGTGTTCTATGTTGCCCTGTCCCCTGAGATTCGGATAGCTTGGAAGGGTTTTTTTTTTTTTTTCCTTCTGGAAGGCAATTATAACTGGGCTCTATAAAAACATAAATTACAGCACAAATTAATGTATTGACATATTTACTGACATTTTTGACTTATTGACATATTTTGGTATGTTATGGTGAGCTATGATTAAATGTATTGACTAAATGTGAATTGTAAATTTGTCTTTGTTGATCATCTTAATTTATATGCAGTAGAATGTGTAAAAAGAAATGCAGTTAAATACAAATGAGATTTTTTTAAAATGGGGGAAGGTCTATGATTTTTATTCCGAAGCAATCGGACAGAGGGAATTCCCTGATGCATACCACTTGTAGTGGTTACCTACAAAACATGTGGTAAATTCAAAAGCTGGCCATATGCCTTGTTCTCAATAACAAAGATCAAAGAAATTTCTGGCACAAAAAATAATTCTAGCACATTCAAATAATTTCCATCAGAAGTCCAATACATGCTAGTATCCAATTTGCAATAGTCTCCTTTTAAGAAATTTGATCGAGTATGATGACTGTGTTGAAAAGCATGTTTTATGGTCAAAAGTCTGTTTGAGTAGATAAGTGTTTAGCAATACTTGAATAACTGTACATCTCCACCCCAAACCACCCCAACGATGCCCTTGAAGTGATGCCCCAGTGCCTGGAAGCCGTGTGGATCTGGATGGGGAGGAATAGGCTCAGGCTCAACCCATCCAAGACCGAGTGGCTGTGGTTTCCGACGTCCCGATATAGTCAGTTGATGCCATCACTGACTATTGGGGGCGAATCATTGGCTCCCACAGAGAGGGCGTGCAACTTGGGCGTCCTCCTGGATTCACGACTGTCTTTAGAAGAGCACTTGACGGCCGTGACCGGGAAGATTTTTCATTCGCCTGATTCACCAGTTGCGTCCCTTTCTGGATCGGGACTCGTTACTCATGGTCACTCATGCCCTTGTCACCTCCCGCCTGGACTATTGCAATGCTCTCTACATGGGGCTCCCCTTGAGGAGCACCCGGAGGCTCCAACTGGCGCAGAGTGCGGCCGCGCGGGTGGTAATGAGAGTGACATGGCGCTCCCATGTAACACCTCTCCTGCATGAGCTGCACTGGCCCCCGGTGGTCTTCTGGGTACACTTCAAGGTTTTGGTTACCACCTTTAAAGTGCTCCATGGCTTAGGACCTGGGTACTTGAGGGACCGCCTACTACCACCAATAGCCTCCCACTGGCCGGTACGCTCCCATAGAGAGGGGCTCTTCCGGGTGCCGTCAGCCAAACAATGCTGACTGGCGGCCCCCAGGGGGAGAGCCTTCTCTGTGGGGGCACCTACTATCTGGAACGAGCTCCCCCCAGAGATTCGGAGGATCCCGGATCTGCGCACCTTCCGCCGCGATTTAAAGACCTTATTATTTCACCAGGCAGGCCTGGCCTAATTTTCTCCCTCTTTTATAGAAGATTTTTAATTTTAAAACATTTTTTAGTATTTTATATATTCAATTTTAAAATTGGTTTTAAATAGATTGGGGTTTTAAATTTGTCGGGGCCAAAATTATTTAATTTGATTTTATTCTACTTTTAAATTTTATATGTATGTTTTTATTGTTTGGCTGTGTACTGCCCTGAGTCCTTCGGGAGTAGGGCGGTATAGAAATCAAACAAACAAACAAACAAACAAACAAACAAATAAATAAATAAATAAATAAATAAATGTGTAGAACCAGAGGTTTGAAGGTTATAAATCTAGATAGTTCTGCAGCACTTGAATGAGAGGCACACAATGATTCTAAGTGCCAGTTGATGACTCCAATTGGTTTAACTGTTTCTGCATGCTGGCAGAAGAGGCATGGATTACATTAGTCAACACTTTTGGCTGACTGGATACAGGAGAAGAGTCTTTTCTGCTGTGCCTCCTGTACTTCAGAATATCATGCCTGCTGAGGTGATTAATTAGTTTCTACCTCCTCCTTGTGAATACTTTACTCCCTTCCCCCATCTTGGTTAATTGAATTTTAATTTAATTTTAAATATGTCAATTTTTTGTTGTTTCAGGATTCTTTATCATATTTTAATCATATGAATATAAACTGCTTAGGGTCATCTTGTAAGATGGATGGCATAGACATTTAGTAATAAATAAATCTCAGCTTTCTAATCTTATTTTCCAGCCTGATGTTTCATTTTGTGGCACACTGTTTGGCTTTTTCTTCTTTGTCCATTTTGAATCCTAGGTATTCAGTTATAACTGGAACTCTGCTGCACATTAGTTGGTTTGTTTCTTGCAGTGAGCTGGTGCTTATATTTGATTTGATATTACAAATATTGCATTTGATATTACAGTATTGGTGTCTTTTAATGCTTGTGCTAGTTGTTTCTTTGGAACAAGCATCAACACAGGGAACCTTATTCCTTGGTTTTTGTGCTCTTCTAGATGCTCAATTATTCTTTGCTTCAATTCTTCCAGTTCTTTAGTTACAGGATTTTGTTCTTTTTTCTTTTCCAAATGAAAAAATAATTCTATAGCTGTGTTAGTTTCCTGCATTACCAATTTCTCCTGGTTTGCCTCTACAGTATGAATTATCTCTGGCAAGGCTCAGATTTCATTATCTGAGAAAACTTTGTATTGATATAGTCTGTTTCCAAGAAACGCATATCAAGAAACAAGATAAGAAATATTTGACAAATAAACAACTAGGGGATGAATTTATATCAGCTGATGTAAAAAAGATCAATGGAGTTGTCTTATATATGAAACCCCAGTTTAAACCCAAGCTACTTATAGCAGATGAATAGGGTAGATTTGTAGTAATGGAAATTGAACTCAATGGAATAAAATCAATGGTGGTTGGTGTGTATTTTGCCAAATGATGATAGAAGCATTTTTTTGAATATTTAATGGACCAGTTACTGCCCTTTTCATATGGAAACTGGCTGATGATGGGGGATTGGAATAGAATGACTACACCAGTTTTGGATACAAATCTATCAAGGGGATTAAACCCTCACAGGGTAAATTATCAAAGACTTTCTTTGAGATGATGGACAATTTAATATTAATAGATTCAAGGAGATATAAAAATGGATAAAATATACCTTTTTTTCTGAAAGACATAAATCCTTTTCAAGGATTGATATTATATGAATATCTAACAATCACAGAAATAAAATTCTGAAAGTGGACATTCTGCCTAAATCTTTTTCTGATTATAATCTTATGTTTCTGGTTTTAAGAGGAATGGAAGGACCTTGGCGGTCTTCTAGTCCAACCCCCTGCCCAGGCAGGAAACGCTATACCACTTCAGACAAACGGTTATCCAACATCTTCTTAAAAATTTCCAGTGTTGGAGCATTCACAACTTCTGCAGGCAAGTTGTTCCACTTATTAATTGTTCCAACTGCCAGGAAATTTCTTCTTAGTTCTAAGTTGCTTCTCTCCTTGATTAGTTTCCGCCCATTGCTTCTTGTTCTACCCTCAGGTGCTTTGAAGAATAATTTGACTCCCTCTTCTTTGTGGCAACCCCTGAGATATTGGAACACTGCTATCATGTCTCCCCTAGTCCTTCTTTTCATTAAGCTAGACATACCCAGTTCCTGCAACCGTTCTTCATAAGTTTTAGCCTCCAGTCCCCTAATCATCTTTGTTGCTCTTCTCTGCACTCTTTCTAGAGTCTCAACATCTTTTTTACATCATGGCAACCAAAACTGAATGCAATATTCCAAGGAAAGAGCTCGAGTTTTAGATGGACATTAAATGAAACTATTTTAGAAAAGGAAAGGATTGTAAAAGACTGTAAAAAGAAACTGCAAGAGTACTTTGAGAATCATTTAAGCAAAGGAACAAGCTTAACCACAGCATGGGATGCTAGTAAAGTGGTTATGAGGGGCTATTTTATACAGCACAATTGTTTAGAGAGGAAAAAATCCCAGGAAAAGGATATTGGATGCAAGAAAGAAACTCAACTGCAAATTACACCCATGGATCTTAAAATTTTATACCATATCAAATTGTTATGGCAACTACTGTCTATGTTAACAGTACAGGAAATATAAACAAAGTTGAACTATACAGACAAGAGACACTTCAAGTTTGCAAATAAACCAGGGAGATGGTTGGCATATAAATTAAGAAAGGAAAGGCAAATGATTGGAAAAATTTATGAAGACAGTAATGTAATAACAGACAATGAACTTATTAAAAAGTCCTTTCATAATTTCTATTCAAATTTGTACAAAAGACAGGAGTTTGATATGTCAAAAATAGATGAAGCCTAAACTATCAGAAATTCAGAGGCAACGTATCAATGATCAGATAACTGCTTTTATTTATTTATTTATTTATTTATTTATTTTATTTTATTTTATTTTTATATTTTTTTATATTTTTGAGATATCAGAAGCCATTAAAAAAAAATGAAGCCACACAAAGCCCTAGGCCCAGATAGTCTTACAAGCCAATATTATAAGTACTTTGATGATGAACTTCTCCAACAAATAAAGGACACAATGAATGATATACTACAGGAGGAAAAGATATCCCAGATGTGGAAAGAAGCCAACATTGTGTTGCTACCCTAGGGAGGTCAAGATGTTACAAAGACAAAGAATTGTAGACCAATTTCATTATTCAACAAGGATTACAAACTCTTTGCTGCCATTTTGGCAGAAAGACTAAAGAAGATTTTACATGAAGACCAAGTGGGCTTTCTGCCAAAAATATAGCTAAGAGATATTCTGAGTACTGTCTTAAATATTATTGTATACTTACAATATCATAATGAGAAACAGGGAGCCTTAATATTTTTAGAAGAATGGAATGGAACGGAACGGAACAGAACGGAACAAAACAGAATAAATATTACCGAATACCTACAATATCATAATTAGAAACAGGCAGTCTTAATATTTATAGAATAGAATAGAATAGAATAGAATAGAATAGAATAGAATAGAATAGAATAGAATAGAATAGAATAGAATAGAATAGAATAGAATTATAGTTGTGCTCGCTTCGGCAGCACATATACTAAAATTGGAATGATACAGAGAAGGGAAGGGGAAGTAGAGAAGAGAAGAAGGTGGGGAAAGAAAGTTGGAAGGAGAAGAGGGAGAGGCTGGGTTTGAGGAGAAAGATTGCTGTACAATAAAAAATGATGAAGTGGAAGAAAGGCAGCTCTGAACAAACAAATATAAATATATTAGGAAAAAGAATGAATTGTTAAAGAATAAAAGAGAATAAATAGGTACAACTAGCAAAGTTAGAACTTAGGGATAAATGAAGAAAGTGTTTATATATGCAAGTATAGAAATACTGAGGTATATTCAAAAAAAAAAGGAAAGGGGGAAAGACGATATTGACAAAAATTGTAATTGAGTAAAATGTATTTGAATTTGACTAGTTGTATAAGATAAGAAACGACCAACACTCTGTTCAAAAAGAAAAGAGAAAGATGTGGGTGAAGGTGGGAGAGGAGAAAAGAAAAAAACCAATAAAACTTGTAAAACAAACAAACAAACAAAAAAAGAATTACAGTAATGCCCTTACACATACATATATTTATATCTCTATTTCACTTTATGGATCTAATGATTTTATTTTTTGTCTTGTGGCTCATGCGTTCCTGCCTCTACAAGTCCTCATATGTTTTGAAGTTGTTCACATATGTGACTGTCTTACTATCATTATGAAATTAGTCACTTTTCTCTTCCAAATCCTATGGGACTCCATGAAAATTGGAGCAACTAACACAGAATTATGGTATTTATTATCCCCATCCTATTTCAACCCATGGCTGGGAGCCCCAAAGCTCTGTGGGTTGATTTGTTAGTATGTTACACTCCCTAGTTTTGTCTGAAAAACATCTCCAGGAGGCAGATCAGTCTGATCTACTTTAAAGATCTTGTAGCAGACAGAGGCATTTGTACACAGAAAGAAGACACTCATGGAAGATGTTAGTATTGGTGGAGTTACTCTTAATAGTATTGCCTGAAGTGACGTGCAAGAATCCTAGCCTTCAATGCGACTTTCAGGAGCCTCTTCCTATTCGGCACACCTATCATCAGCCTGGAGACATTAATATTGCTGGCATTATTTCTGCATTCTTGATATTTTCTGACCCCATTGATTTCAGTCAACATCCTTCTCAGGCATTTCATGATGGACTTATGTAAGTATATCATTAATTTATTGTCAGCTCTGAACGTTGCTGGTAAATCACATGATGCTTGAAATATTTTCCTCTAATGGCAAAAAAACCAGAAAGGAACATCTAAAATAGGCTGTTTAGCCTACATTTTGGTACCAAAATGTAGAAATTTCCTTCTGCATATAAGCTATTCTTAAACGCTGTGGTTTGGAAGTGGACCATTCTGACATACTAAAACATAGAAATAAGAATTATTAAACACATTCCGCAAAATATGCTGGACTGAAGGATTGCAAGGCACATAATATGAAACAGGCCTTTGTTAATGATTTTTTAAAAATTGTTTTACAGAATAGTTTTTCAGAATTACCAGCATATCCTGGCCTTATCATTTACTATAAAACAGATTAATGAAAATCCTCAGATCCTACCCAACATCACGCTGGGCTTCCACATTTTTAACAGCAATTTTAGTCCAAGCTGGACTTACTTTGACTCAATGCTTCTACCTTTCACTCACGGCAAATTCATCCCTAACTACAAGTGTGGGATTACAAATACTTTGGCTGCAGTAATTGGGGCACCTGATATTTCTCTTCACATGGCAACTATATTGTGCAACTACAAAGTTCCTCAGGTAAGATTTGCTGTAGAAATACATTCTGCCATAACTCCAAAGACACATATATGCTTCTCTCTGTAAAAAGGAGAGACCTTTCAGATTCCTAGATATTACTTTTGCTTGATAAAGTTGGCATAATAGTATGAGTAATCATAAGTCTGAACAGATGGTGAGGCT